TATTGCCTCATTAGCCTCAGCACATTATCAACACTTGGCAAATGCCTTATCACCAAAAGTGTGTGATATCTGTTGTTGTTGTTTTTATTGTTGTTTGCGTATTTTAGCGATTACTGCATCGGTTATACAGCTATGGGATGTACATATGCTAAGTTGTTATTCCTTTTTTTTTCGTTGTTTTCTCAGCAATTGTTTTATTACACCCATACAAATGTTGTTGTTTTTGTTGCTTGGGCAACTGCTGCTGCTTAATGTAATTGTTTAAAGAGTACTTGCCGGCAGTAGCAGCGATGTCAAGCAATGAGCGCGACTATAATAATAAATATTGCCAACAACAACAACGACAACAACAACGCCGGCTGGCTGCCCATCGGCAATAAAATCAAATAAGCGCAAAACAACTGTAAAAAATGAGATAATACCTTGAACGAGTGTCAAACAGGTCGTTGTCTGCCTGACGTCGACGTCATCGTCGTCGTGGCTACCAAGCTTCCACCAAGCTCCCGTACTGTCAAGCTACCAAGCGACCAGCAAGCAAAGTCAGCGAAACAGCAATGAAAACGGCGAGCCGCCACCGCCGTCAAGTGTCGTCCCGTTCCATATGCACCGCCGCTCTTCCGACACGCCTCGTCTTGCCGACATTCGTCATTGTCATCATCGTCATCGTCACTGACTTTTCGTTTGCCCCTTTTTTCTGTGTCTACTTTTTATTTCATTTTCATTTCTTATTTTTTAATACAGCTGTTTGTTGGTGTTATTTTTGTTGTAGCTACTGTTGCTATTGTCATTTTATTACGTTACTTCATTGCTGCTGTTGTCATTATTGTTGTTGTTGTTGTTTTTTGCATGCCTAAAGCGTTAAGATTACATATGATTAGCGAGTTTACGCTAATCTTTCGAAAAGAATTCTGTATAAACATACGTACACATACATAAGTATTTATGGGTATGTGTTATAAGTATAATATCTATGAATATTTCATGTTAAAAAAAACAATTTTTATGTTCGAAAAATTGGTTTAGAAATTGAGAACTTGAGAAATTGTTGGGGTTTCAGCGCCATTTCAGATCTGATCTTAAATCATGTAAAAAAAAATTTCAATTTTTTTGAACTTTTAATTAAATATATAAAATCAAAATCCAGTAAAAATTAAAAAGTTTGACATATTTTTTTTTTAAATTATTAATTTTTAACTCCTATTCGAACATTTTTTTATTTCTATTTATTTGCTTTAAAAATATCTCCAAAAATTTTGTAATTTTTACTAATTTTTCCTTTTGGTATCAAAATTTTTAATTGATTTAGCTCTTACTGGATTTAATATTTATAAAAGCATTAAAAAGTATTATTTTTTTGGCAAAAAGCCAAGCTATATTTTTTCAAATTTTCAATAAAAATATTCCCTTTCACTCCAGTATCTTAGAACAATTTTAATTTTTTAATTTAGTTAAATCAGATAATTCCACAGGAACTTAATTTGCTCAAATCAAGAATTCAAAACTTTTCACCAAAATTACTTTCTGTATTTTTATTTGAAAAAAGCGAGTATTAATTTTAAAATAGTCCAATTTTCTAGATAAAATATTTAAAAAACAAATATATTTTAATTATTCTGATTGAATTTTAAACATTATTACAAACATATTGTAAGCAACACTCACTCTTGTATAGAAAACAATATTCGATAATATTTTTTTTTTTTTTTTTTCAAAAAGTTTAAATTATTTTATACTTTCATTAGAGATTTTTGTCATTTTATTATTTAATATATAATAAAAGGCATTTTATTTATATCATTTTTTTTATTCTTAAGATTTGTAATACGTCCAAATTCTCTTTTTTAATTTTTTACATCTACAATTATTCTTTCTAATTAAAATAAATAAATTTTTTTATATTTGAATTAGTCAACTGCGCAGTCAATTCAATATAAATCGAATCTCACCACCACTTCAAGCGTATTTCTTACTCACCATACACTGTCTTTCGTTTCTACTCACTCATTTACTCATAATTGAGTTGAGTTCTTAAGCGATAATTCAAACATAGCCAACGCGTCCACACAAACACAACTCGCATTTCAGTGCCAAACTCACCATACTGTATTCTGACCCACACACACACACACACACACTTGCACGAAAACATGCTCACGCATACACATGCATCGCTGGAGAGCAGAGGAAATGCATTTTTTGACAGCGGCTTTTTACTACATACATACATACACGCATATTTGCATGTATGTTTTGAGCGTTGAAAAAGTCTGTTGCTATAAGCGAGTCTCAATGCGAGCTTCGTGAGCTCGTTTTTATACGATCTTTGAGTAATGAGTAAAATTCTAGAATTTGCTGGCGGCCTCAATGGGGTAGATAATAGTGATTTTAGTTGAAATAAAAATCTTGAAATAGTTACAAATAATTTAAAAAATCAAATATATGTATGCATAAGTAAACAGATGATAAATATCGTTACAGAATTTTGGATAATTCTTTATTTATTTCTTTATATTTTATTTAACCTCTAAAAAGAATTGAAAGGTATGTAGGTAGATTGGCCCTGGCACTGAATGAAGCAACGAATATCCGATGAGCTTTTTGTGGGCAGCCATTCTATACCAGTGTCAAATTTGCGAGGGGCTGAGAACTCACAGCGGAAATGGATTATTGTCACCATATTCCCTTCTAATTTACAACTACGGCAAGGTCTTTTATAAGGCTTACTCATTTATGGCTGGGTGCTCTCTTAAGAGTCAGCAGCATGTCCAGTCCAGATTCTTCCAATATGGTGAAAGAAGGAAGATTAACCTGCCACTCGAACTTTGTTCAAAGAGAACTGCTTAGCATTTAGCATTCACGTTTAGTGATTATCAAGTATTTGTGAAATTATTGATTTCGTGATTCTTAGTGCTACCCTACTATCCGAGAAGATATAAATGCAATTCACCGTGAATACCTATAGACATAGAGGGTTAACAGCCCATTTGGTGGCAATCAGTTCCACTTAGATGACATTATAGTATTCCGGAGTCCAAAGGACTTGCTAATTCCAAATATTTTTGAAAAGATTCCACTATAGACTTTGTTCGATCGAGCCTTCAAATACTGGAAGGTCTTGTTCCCTTACTTTCTATCCGGCGCAACATACTTGTAGTCATTGGTGAAGCCAGTGAATTTTATGTAGCAGTCATCCTTTCTGGTAGGTATGACCTTCTTAATATATGGACTAATAAGCATTCATTCAGATACCTGATGCATCTCCATAATGTCAAAGGAGAATAGATTTAGTCGGATATGCGCAGCCTAAAAGGTTGAGTTGTTCTCGCGTGTTTTCCACCAAACCGTAATGTTACGTGATGAAGAATTTTGCTTTATTTTAGGGATTAGAGTTTGCCATTATGTTTGAAAAATAATTTCGGACAAGTGAAAAGCCAGCCACGGCCGGCTCGAAAAAATTTCAACCAAAATGCCAGTTTGCGTTCACTCTTTGCTGCAAATAGGATGGCGTCAAGTGGCTTCACATAGTCCAAATAAAAACGGTCCAGCGGTCCACCACAATCTTAGAGGTCAGGTCACTAAAAGTTTTCGTCAAAAAATTGATTACTCCGTTGGCTGTATCGCATGTGGCGCCGTCTTGTCGAAACCAAAAGTCGTTCACATCAACATCCTCAATTATCATGGCTCTGTAGAGTTGCCCATTGACTTTAACATTATGTCTCCGCCCAATAGAGCACACCAGAGAGTGTATTTTTTAAGGTACAACGACGTCTCAACCATGGCTTGCGGATTATCATCACTCCAAATACGGCACTTTTTTTATAAACATATCTATTCCACAAAATGTGAAAATAATATAACTTTTGTTTAAAAATTGTCAAAATATTACACCAACAAATATATTATAATTTAAAACCATTATCTTGATCCAAAATTGTTCGAATTAAATTAAACTCCAAACCCTTTAGCGAGCGAATGTTTGAATGAGTGAGAGAGTGAGTGCGTGAGTGTCAGCTCAGTAATAAATGCATTCATTTTCCAATCACGAAAATCTTGCAAAAGAGTCTACGCCTCTTAACAATTCGTAATGCAAAATAAGTAAACACACACACACACATACTTATTCTTATTAAATATTAGCGACATCAACGCTCATAACCACACACTAAACAGAACAGAACAGAACATAACAGAACATAACAGTAAGCTAGAGTGAAGAATGAGTGCATTTGACTCGGTTTGAGTGCATTGAGTTTGACTTGCGACCAACTAGAGTGCCAATAACCGAAAAGCCGCAAAGCATAAAATAAAAACTTGCAAACAAGAAAATGAGCTTATGGCACTTTTTTCCACGACGAAAGAGCTAGAATGAAGCGGAAGATGCTCTCCTAGGCCACGAGTGACTGACATTCAAACTGTTGTGTAGTGTAATGCAACGTACTTGTATGTATATAATTGTTGAAAAATTGCAGAATTTTTTCTTTCAAAGCGCCCCAATTGAGACCCAGAGAGCAGAACAGAGCTGCAGTTTGTGATTCTCTTTTCAGTATTTTCTTAAGCACGCTATGTCGTTGGGAAAAAATTCTGCGAAGAGTTTTTTTTTTTTTTTCAAACAAACAGCACTCGGACTCAGCCAACTTTGAATAAAGCAGAAAAATGGCAGTGCAGTCGACGCCGGGGTCACTTTCGGCGTCAACAGTCGCTGCAACAGCGCGTCCGCAGTAGAATTTGTGGTGAAAACTCACGCTATCAAACGCACACAACATCACACACACATATTTATTTTTTGCGAGGCTGCGCTTGTAGTGGTGTGAATGGCGTTTGGGTGGCTCGAGCGCGTGTAAATGAGTGAATGAGTGAGCGCATATGTGTATTTGGATTTTTTTCCGCAAACACATAAACACTCGCAAAGCTCGCGCTATATGTCCTGACACTTTTTACACCCCATCTGATGTATGCGCGGCCGGTAAAAATAAAAATGGTTGAAAATCTTTTAACTCAAATGCAAGTGAGTATGAGTTGAAGAGCGCGCTACGCGGAGTGGGAAAATAAACAAGGTATGCTTGCTGTCGCGTGTTGAGTGTTGGGTCGGTAGACAAGCGAGTTGGTTCTATGAATGATTTGTTGGGTTGAGCGTTATGTGGGGGGCAGTTGAGTGGAAGTTTGCCTGCAAATGTGCATTGGGACTCACATGTTTGTATGTATTTGTAAGCTTTGATAATTTTTATTACACAAAATGCATTTCCATGTATTTGTGTATTTTTTCTAGCTTCATTAGTGACTTGCGCTTGTGTGCGCTCCTGTATGTACAAAATATATTTGACTTTATTTGTGTTTCCATTCTGAGCGCCAATATATTGCCCACTTTTTTAAATAAATTCAAAGAGCGCCAAGTCAACAGCGCTAGTGAGCGCTGAGTTAATATTCTGCGAATTCTCCCCTTTATCGTGTGTTTAACGGCTTGCAATTGGGCAGCGCTTTGGCTTTATGGAAATCGCATGGAGCTTGGTTTTTTTATTTAACATCTGAGCTCTCACTCCCAACATAATGGTGCTGCACTCGCAAAAATTTTAGGAGAATTTTATGGAAGCTCTCAAAAACTTATCGGGACTCACGGCGAAATTATAAATTACGGGCAATTAAAATATAATCAGATGATCCAAAAGCGTTCAGACATCGCGCGCCCATAAGCACTCATACTCCACAGCAACCAAAAAGCGAGTGCTCTCTTTATTCTGCTTTGTATGAAGTCAAGTCAGGCGCGCGCTCTCTCTCTCCCACTCTCGCGCAATCTTTGTTGAGAACTTCTTTGCTGCAATTATTGCATTTTTTATGAAAACTCCTCATACGCTGGAGCGCGCCATCTCAACCATGCATTCTAGCTGTCTTGAAATGCTTGCACTGTTGGCTGCTCGTCACTGCAATACATTGCCAAACAGCTTGAGTGCAATTTTTTCGTACTTTCCTACATGCGCGTCCAGCCCTCCTCCTGTCAATTGCGGGAAATGCAGTGCGCGCTAAATTCTGTCGCTGCTGCTTTGAAGGCTGCTGCTGCGTTTTTTGTTGTTCTTGACGATTCAAAGCCGCGTCGTGCTTGGCAGTGTGTTGTGTTATAATTTTTATAGTCGAGTCGGCTCGGCAGTCGCAAAAACGCAACGCATCCGATATGCAACGGAACGCATTTTCGGACGCGGCCCGAGTCGATCCGAGTAAGCGGCGTCCGATCGCGCGTTCAACAATTGTAAAGAACTAACTAACAATTTACATTCTATACTTAAATTATTACTATTTTTGTTGCTGTAAAATACTTTTTCTGTTTCTGTTACTGCAGCGCGCTGCAAAGTGTTAGTGTTATTGAGCGCGCTGGTGTTTGTGTTGTTGAGCTGAGTTTTCGTAGTTGGCGTTGCGCAGTCCAACAAAAAATTAATTATATTTTCTTAATTTTTTTTTTTTTTTGTTAATCCCATTCTTATAGGCGCGTCATTTATTTATTAATAAATTAAAAACATTTGCAGTGGCGATAAACTCGACGTTGACCACAACCCCACCACTACGCAGCGAAGAAAGCGATAACAACAACACTCACAAGCGCGCGCGGGGAGAAAATCAAAAGTTTAATGTAAAGCAGCAACAACAACCACAATAACAACAACAATGAGAATAATTAGTAGTATTGACGATATTTTTTGCAAAAATCATGCGAGTGCAGTGGCCGCTGACTTAGTGTTGAAGCTGTGCATGTGTGCGTTTGGGTGCGCGTGAGTGCGTAGAATGCGTTCGCTGTCCAGTGACCAACCAACCAAGTGTAACTGTATGCGTACGCCGCGTATATGTATAGTGTTTGTATGTGTGTGCGCGCACTACTGTGCATGTATGCAGGTAGCTGGGCAGCGCACAGCGACGTCAATCATACAGCAAACGACGGCAGTGGCACTGGTAGCCGCTCAAAATAGTAGGAAATTGAATTTATTCTTTGAACGCGCGTCTGTCCATCGCGAGCGCGCTACATTTCCGCTACTTGCAGTTGCGCTTGTTGCAGTTCGTAGCATTCTGCGGCGCAATAAGCAGTAGTCGTAAGCATAATAGCAAACCTTTTAACAGTAGCCTACAGCAGTGAAATCAACAACAAGAATAGATCAAAACACCATACGACTCAATAGCGCGCTTATTCCATCACTGTCATTGCTATTGTTTGCAACGCCGTCGCCGTCGGTTTGTCAGTCGGTCAAACATAAAAAAACAATTGCATTTGCAAAATTTTGTCAATTTTTTCTTACACGCGCGCTCAAACATACACGCAATATATACACATTACCCGCCCTCCACCTCTACCTCCTCCGCGCACACGCACTTCCTACTTTCGCGCTCGCCGGCCAGACAGTGCACAGTGCACCGCCACCACCTTCAACAGCCCGCCGCCAACCACCACCTCGCCACAGGCAATGTAAATAAGTGCACGCAAAACGCCGCGCGTCGTATGCTTCGTGCGAGCCGCGTAAAATAGCGCGCTGCCGCCAACACTCAAACGCTTCGATCCGTTCTGTTCTGTGCTGCAGTGTTGTGTAGTAGCGTACGCGTATCAGCGGCGCAATGTTGCCGACGTTGTTACTATTACTATTATACAAATGTATGCACATACATACATACATATATACGTACATTTGATGGCTATTTTTCACGTTATTTTCACGATATTTGTTGTTACTTAATTTTTACACTTGTCGACGACTACTTACTCTGCTATTTTCCTGCTTTCTCGCGTCGTGCCTGCGTCGTTCTTTGAACAGTCGGTGATGGTGTGGCGTTAACAACGCGTCAACAACATTTAGTGCATTTTTTACAGTTATTGATTTTTTCTGTGATTTTCCATTTTACGTTTCAACAATAATAGATTTTCGAATTTTCGAAATACCGAAATTCCGAATTCCCGAATTTTGAAATTCTCGTCATTTTGATTGCAATAAAAATTCGATAAATTTGATTGCAAAAAGGAGAGAAACGCCAACAAAAATGCAGTGAACAAATAAAGAATTGGAGAATAAATTTTATTATTGTGTAATGTGAAATATTCTTAGAAAATATTTAAAGCGCCAAATCAATTTTATAATAACGCAAAACAAATCAGGCGCTGAAGTACTTGGCAGCAAAGCAACGTTAACAGAGCCAAAAATGTACAAAAAATAGTGGACAAAAGTTACTGATGATAAAAAATAAATAAATAATAGAAAAAAAATTATAAAAAAATACAAAACAAATTCTACAAATAAAAGCAGGAGTTGCCAAGAAAGCCGCTTATTCAATTTAAATGAAATTTCGACAATATAATAAAATAAAGTACATTAATAAGCACATAAAAATAAATTAAATTAAAAAAATTATTTCGAAATATCAGCTAAAAAATTTATTAATAAAAGAAACAAACATTTTTACGCATACAAAAATTTACTCCAATAAAAAATTTCCAAAAAAATATGGTGCAATACTAAATATTTAGGAGCAATATAATAAAAAAAAAACAGAAAAATACAAATTTGTTCATTTTAATTGATAAAATGATTTTATTAATTTGTGAATTATCTATTAAAACAACAAAATTCAAGTGAAAAACGCGCACATTTCAACGATTTGTTTAAGGCCTTTTTATATCCGATAAATGAAGAATGCTAATTATGCGCATGTGTGTGTGTACGGAACCACCAAAAATATTTCAAAAAAATTCTTCTTGAGAATTCTTCGTAAAAAATCAAGTTGACTAATTTCAATGCGTTTTACACATATTTAACATTTAAAAAAGTTTTTAACGGGTTTATATACGAGTCCAGATAAAAATGCACGTCATCTGAATTCTTGTGAAAAAAATATTAAAAAAAAAACAAGTGGAACTCAACACTCCAAACGCCTTTAAAAAGTGTTTAGACCTCTTTTAATTCTCAATCCTGTTTTCACTTTTAATCACAAACAAACCTCAGTTCTCTTTACGATCCAGTTCATATGAATTTTTATTTAAATTAAAATCCGCTGGAACGTTTCAGCTTCAGCAATTTTTATAAGAAATAATTCCAAACCTTAAAGTCAATTTGTTTCCAATAGAATTTGGTCTCATCGGATTCTAAAAAATATTTTTAAGCCAAAAAAATATTATTTTCAACACTTGGGTTCATTCTTTTTCAATGATAGTCTGGCCGCCTTTAATTCCAACAGCAAATAGCACAAGTACTTTTTTTGAGAATACGCTCCACTTCCTTAAGCATGGCCATTCTTTTTTCTTCTGTTCCATATATATCAAGGCATTCAACAATGAGTTTAGCTACAATAACTTGGAATCATTTCAAATTTGAATTAATATCTTAACATGATATTTAAGATATTTTGAGGATTTCTTTTTTTTTTTGTGCGAATAGTATTTTCTTCATTTGATCATTGACGAATCAATTAATTTGTAAGAAATATTGTCATGGCAGCTTTTTGTAGATTACCTTGGGAACTAAAGGGGGTCTTTCATCTCAAGCTTTTATTCTGTAGTGTAAAGGCATTAAAAAAACCGACACACACAACACCCTCTGAACTTTTTTTGGCCTTAGTTATTTGGAACGATTTCTGAAAAACTTACGAATTTGAACCCAATCGACTTAAGAGAAATTGTAAGCACTTGTGATCTCAGTTTGTTGATTGTAATCGTCTCACGGGAAAGCCAAACGACGGCACTTCAATAAGAAAACGGCAGAATTTAAATTATTTTCAACCTTTCATTGAGATCTTATGTTAGATTTCTCATGTGGCATGGAGATAGAAAGAGGGAATTAAAAAAATATACAGATCATGTATAAGAAACAAGAAAACAAGAAACTAGAGCTGTTCGTGACCTTGCAGCAGTCTTTATACTTTTCCTGACCATAACAATTTTGTGGTACCTCCGCTAGGCATTAAATATTAATTCCCATTTTGAAGCTTTCAGATTTCAAATCATTTTTATTTCTGTGTGTAGTGCTTAGATGTATTTTTTTGCGGATTTTTGTAATCACACTGGGACCTCAACGATTTTGATGATTTTCGGTGTCAATGTTGATTTGAAATTCATGGCTTTGTCGCGGAGTTCTCATATAGGTATAAAGGACTATATTTCATAGACGTCTAATTTCGATAATTTTCACTACCACTATGAAAATCACTATATGTGATTCCAATTCCATGCTTCTTAAATGTTTTTTCGACAATTTCAAATTTGAAAGCCCAATCTTACAAACGCTATAGTATATTGGTCTGGCGTTGTACGAAGTTAAGCTGACATATCTCAAAAATTAAGATAATGCCTCTTTAAGGGATCTTTCGTTAAAGCGAGGCTCCACCAATATATATTCTTATGATATATTGAACGAGCTCTCAGTTAACAATTGGAAATGATAGAAACTAAAACAAACTGCTCTTAGATAATGTCCCGAACGACAGCTTGGCGCTGGTTTTCGATTTAGATTAGCAAAAATTAAACAGAACCACTGGAAAATCTTTAAACGATAGTTTAACAAAAGTATTCAAAGAAGGCATGAAAAACTGTGTAGTGAATTATATAAAAATTTTGATCAATTGAAATTTCAACATGAAATTAATATTTTAATTCCAACGACTACGGCTGCCCGCTACTCAACTAACTGACCAGGAAATGGGAAAAATAAATAGGTTACATTTAACTCTTACCTAAACAGCTTAAAAATCACAAAAATCCGACGGTAAAAAATGCCTGGCTTTAAACTTAATAGCACGAGATTTAAACAGAATGGTACTTTTGAGAACAAAAACATCAACAACAAATGTATCTTTCGAAATCAAGCAGAAAGGATACTAAGATATATATACGCACAAGGATATGATCCGAATTTGTGAAATATTTCAACCTGCGCTTCGACTACTTTTCCAACTCACAAATTTTTTTTTTTTAATTTCCGGGCAGATTATTAAATTTGATTTTTTTTCTTTTTGGAAATTCAAGAGTTTCTTTTTGCTCATGAACTGAATGCAGTAATTACTTAATGAAGTCTCATTTTGGTCCGATTTGGCAAACAATTTATCATTTGACCATAATCATTCTAAAGCTCTTTATATTGAAAGTTCATTGTTGTCCGCCATTTAAAAATTGAAATAAAGCTACCAAAAACGCTAAAGAAACATTCCAACTGGTAAAAATAATTCAGCAACAACGCAGAGACAAGAAATTTTTGTCAGTTTTCATTTTAACTTGACCCTAAACGCCCAAACCCAACAGCAACTGCAAATGCGCAGACAAAAGATTCGCTACCTCAGTTTACCCGCCCACACACACTGGCACGGCGAAGGAAAGCTGCGAAAAAACTGTCGGGAATAAAATCAGAGTACCACCCGGCGCACCTGCGACCTCTCGTTTTCTACTATTTTCGCTGGCCACGAGTTGCCGCCGGTATTTTCTCGCTTGCTTGCATCTTCCTTTTTTTCGCCCAAAAAACACACCAAATAGCAGTGGCTTGTTGGCCAAAATGAGAGTAGTAAGTGCAGTGGCAGCGACGGCGGTTAATGACTGGTCTCTTCTTTTTTTGTTTGTAATTTTGTTAATTTTGTTTCTTCTATATTTCGCTTTTTTTAGTGTCTGTTATTTATTTGTAATGATTTTTTTTTACAATTTTTCACAATTTTTTCCTTATTTTTGAGGAAGTTATTTTTTCAGCTTTTTAATTTCCGTCAGACTCCGTAGTAGTTTCTGTTCTTTTAGTTTCCCCTCATACTTTCATTCTTTTGTGCGTTTGATTTTTATTTTTTCTAATTTCGTTTATCCATCTCTCATTCTCTCCTGTGTCTTTTTCGGGCACGCAAATTACAATTTACTTTTGGCAACTTATTTCCATTTGTAATGAATTTTTTCTTGGTCGAATCTCATTCCTTTTTTCGTTGTTATTTTTTGCAATTTTTGTGTTTTATCTCTGCAAATTTGTGAAATTTTTTTCATTACTTCGTTGACTTTTTCTTTTGATCATCTATTTTTAACCACGATTTTTCATTTTCTTATGAAGCCACTGCTAGTTTTTGGTTGTTCTTTTGTTCTATTTCAAGTATTATTTCCTTCTCGCTTTTCATTTTTTTGGTTTTTCTTTACTGTGACTTTTAATCCACCCCCGACAGCGTCCAGACTGTAGTTCTGTGTTAATTATTTCGGACCTTTATCAATATTTTTCTCTCATGCAAAGTTACTCTGTTGTTCTTTGTTTACGTCTACGCTTTCTCAGCTTTGTAGTGAGTTTCTTGGGGAATTACTGAAGATAGCACAGGAATTTTTTATGTGCTTAGTAAGTGAAACGCGTAGCTAATAATTTCAAGAGGTTTTGGGGGATTTCTTATGATAATACGCCAACATATAAATTTTTAAAGAAAAAACATAAATAATAAAATATTAAATGAAAGGAAATAAAATTTAATAAAATAATATAAAGCAAAATAAATAAAATTAATTTATATTCATAAATTATAGTAGAACGAAATGCAAAAAAGGAAATTAAACAATAAAAAGTAAAACAGTAAAAAAATAAAATTAAAAAAATTATGAAATAATAAAAAGTAAAATTAAATTAAGTCAAATTATATATAAAATGAAAGTAAAATAACGGTAACATTTAATAAAGTAAAAAACTCTACATTAAAGAAAACTAAAAAAAAATAAATTAAAATAAATAATATAAACAAAAATAAAAAAGTCAATTAAACTAACTATGCTTGAGAAATTTTACAAAAGGTAAAAATAAAAAAATAAATTAAATAAGACACAACAAAACACAAAAAACAACACAAAATAAATAACATTATTATAAAAATGAATTAAACTTAAATCATTTAGATTAAAACGATATTAAATAAGAAAAAATATAATAAAAGTAAATAAAACTGAATGCCTTGAAAAAATAAAGCACAACAAAGTTAGATAAAATGAAAGGAAATATAAAATTTAAATTAATATTTAATAAAATGACAAAAATGAAGGAAAAAAATCCAAACAAACTAAAACACTATACAAAATAAAATCAAATGAAATGAAATTAAATAAAAATATGAAACGGAAAAAAAATTAAACAAAAGAATAAAATAAAAAATTTTAAAATTCAACGCAAAATATTTGTTAAAAAATGCGAGTTATGTTGCCGAAAATATACTGTGAATATCAATCAAAATATAAATGCACCGCTCGACATAAATTAATAGGCCTAAAACTTTCACACTGCATTTAATTTTTTTGTCTGTTTGCATTTTTTGCATCGCAACGTGCTGATTTGGTGTTTTTTTCGGTGTGCGGAAATAAAAAAGCGGCACAAATGTCAAAAACGCGCCTAAAGTGTAACTAAAAATCTACGCATAAACCACAGAGACCTCCAATCAAGTGCGATCAGCGCCCCGCAGAAGCGTGCCGCACCCACAACACAGTCGTTTTCGCGCGGCGAACGCATTTTTTCCACGCGTGTCGTGACATTCAGCCGCTAAAATGCGTGTCAAATCGACAAACAACGCAGAATTATTTTATCTCAGTGTTTTAGTATTTCGGCTGCCTACTTCATAATTCTTAATTTCATACTTTTTTTTTGTGTGAAAAATTCACTAAATTTTGCTTATTTGCAGGTTTTTTTGAAAACTAAACATTTTTGTTGAGGTAAAACACACATACACGTATTTTTGTTGAGTTGAAAAAAAAAGTTTACATAAATAGCAAAAGAAATATATATATATATATGTAATATATATAGAAAGAAACATAAAATAAAAAGAATAATTTACAAAAGTTATAAAAATAATAAAGTTGGCAAATGAAAATCAGTTTTTAAAAATTTTTACAAAAACAAAGAAATATATATATGTATATATATGAATGTAGTAAAACAAAAAGTGCAATCAAAGAGAATAAAAAAAAATATATATATATATATTCATATGTATATTTAAAAAATAAAACAACACCAAAACTACAGCAGCCGCCACCGCCAACGCCACCACCGCTGCCTTGTGGCATGCAACGCGTAGAAATTGAATTAAAAGAGCGTAAAAAGAAGTTATTGAAATTAAAGAAATCATACAAATTGTAAGCATATCGAGCCAAGTAGAGCTGCAACAATAAACAAAATAGCATACATACAAACATACATATATATATATATATATAGTTACAAACACACATGGTTGCCAGATAATTAAAAAAGTAAATTTCCTTCGCTTTTGAATTATTTCAACAAAGAACAACAACAACAACAACATTAAGAAACGTCGTGATATACATATGTACATGCATACTTGCAAATAATCAAATATATATATATATATTGAGAAGATACATAATAAGTACACAAATAACAATAATAACAGCAAACAAAACCAAGAACAACAACAACAACAGCAAGCCGTGTATATCAGCATTTGTCGTCAAGAGCAGCAGCATCAGGCAGCAGACGACGATTGCAGTGACCGCCAGCTTTTATTGCAACGCTATATACGCACAAGCATATACATACATATATACATGGTATATAGATAGGCAATAACAACAATAGCCACTGCAATATAACAATATAGCGTTTAATTCAGCAATACCTACGCGTTTGGCCTATGGAAAAATTGGTAAAAATTTTTATATATTTACTATATACATACATATAAATATGTATATGTATATGTACATGTAGATGTATATTTTCAGTTAAATAATTAATTGGAGGTATTTATATGCATACATACGAGTATGTACATAAATGATATATGAATTTCACAAAAAAAAAAAACCAGAAGCTGGCTGCAAAATATATTTCTATATATATATGCATAATTGCACATACTACAATATGTATTTTCATTTGAGCAAAAAAGAATTTTTTTATTATTTACATATGTATGTATGTATACTTCGAAAGATTATGTGTGTGCTCTTACATAACACAAGCCGAAGGGTTAAGCGTAAATAGACCTGCCCTAAATTAATTAATTATAAATATATATATATTTACACGTTTATCTATGTATATGCCTTATGCATGTGAAATAAATAAACAATTTTTAAAATAAATTTACTTTTAAAACATGCGATATATACAAAAATAAACTCGAATGTTCTCTGAGAGTAGCTTGAGAGCTCTCTTCTGATCTCCGTTTTAGTTCACACCAGATAATAATAAGACTACAAAAACAGTGCATTCAATTATTTTGTAGGTGTAATCATACAATCGGCTGCAATGGTCACTTGGTTTGCATTGCATACTAACATTCTAGAGGCTAGGGTTCGAATTCTGGTTCGATCAATATCCAAAATTACAGAAAATTAATGTTTCTCATTTTAGTCGCCTCTCAGCAGGGAATGTCAGACCGCCCAAGTGTATTTCAGACATGAAATAATAAATTGCTCATAAAACTCGTTTGGGGATGACTGAGAATAAATTGTAGATCTTACCATTTGTTGAAAAAAAACATCTTGCACGCATACCACAAGTGAAAGCAAGAGTTTCTGCATATGTCTCAGATATTTTGTCTATGAAAATTCACCTTCTTAAATTCATCTTGGGGTGTATCATACAAATCGCTCCTTTAGCGTTCATTCCTGATATTACCATCGTAGGCTAGCCTTTCTATTCGCTTGAGAATTTTCAAAACGGTTCTATAATTGAGTAAATATGAATCCAGATCCAGGAATTCGAGCGTATTTCTATCGTGCAATGCAAAAATTACCTGATAAAACTTCATCAACCACTCGTAGTAGACTCAGAATAAGCTGTAGGCCGTCCTTTCTTACTCTTGTACAGGATCCTTGTTACACACAGGTTATCCGTTAGAATAAATAAACAAAAAATTCGAATAAAATTGTTTGATGTTTGGTGCCGTTATTAAAGATGACAAATACAAATGACCGCAAAATATCATACGATTCTCTGTAAAAGCCCAAAGCTTATCGCCGCTATAAGACTCGTCAGCTAAAACAAAAGCATTTTTATTTTCGCGATTGCACTCGTCGGCAGCATAATTAATGCAAAGGGCAATAATAAATATTGCACCAGAATTAAAAAAAAAAACAACAAACAATTATAATTTTCCATGCTTTGCAAATACAAAAAGAAAAGTAATTTACTTAAAAAATTTTATCCAACGGATGTCACAGCCCAAAAGTAAAATAAATAAATCATGTGTGATGAACAGAAAGAGTAAGCTTTTATTTACTTTTAATGAGTACATAGTTACATATATGTATTTGTATATATTTAATCGTATACATGTACAAGAAAATATATAATTGCAAAAACTTATGTATCTATTATGTAGATATTATATAAGGCTTATTATGTATTTAAATTTAATTATATAACAGTCAAATAGTTAATTTGCTTATATACAGGCATACATGCATACATGCATACATACATACATAAACACACACATATATACATAAATATATATATTTAAATATATTTTTTGCACTCACATACCTTATATACATTAATTTTTGCCCGTACACACTCACATGTACATATTTATCAGACAGCAATTAGTACCGTATTTAACATCAAAATTGCAATTCTTTTGGCTCACACCAAGTAGGTGTCATCAATTTTATATGAAGAGAAATAAAATGAATATAAAAAGCAGTTTGCGAACAATTGGAAATTATCAACTGCCACTACCGCACGCATACAAACGCGGCCGCCAGGAGAGCGTCAATACATAGTAGCATACGCGGGGAAAAATAAACAAACGAAATGCAAATTTAACATCGAAGCTACAAAAAATGCGGATTTCCCCGCAACCCACCAAAAAAAAAAAAAAAAATGCTGCACATTACAAAAAATACATGAGTTCCAATATATGCATAATTATCTGCAAATTCTGCCTTCATACATACATACTTAGGTATTAATATACCTAATAAAGTATATAAAAATTGTATTTGTGTATGAAAATGGCATTAACAGTCGTAAGCGCTCACCGCGTACGAAACCAAATCCAACGAAAGCCGTTATAAATAATAATGCTCGCATTTACATACATATATGTTTGTATATACATTAATACAGTTACCCATCCATAGAGCCATAACACATATATGTGTTATTTACTCATTATGTATGTACATATATAGCATGAAAAAATACTACATAGAAAAATGCATTTACATATGAGGAATGTATGTATGTATGGATTTGTTTGCATATAAACTTACCGAAATAAGCCGAAAAAGCCTTATCCCAATTCATTAACAATAAGTTACTTCGAATATATAATACATATATGTATATATATGTATATATATAATATATACTGACGGGCTTATGTATAAGCAGTCGTATGTATTAAATTTTACATTTATTGCCAGGTATTTACATCTGTCTGCATATTTGTATTTATGTATGTACAAATATATTTTTTAAAATATATTTTTTCATATTGATTATAAATAAGTATATGTTTTTGAACGATAACAATGGATGTTCCAAGTTTAATAAAAAAAGAGACGAAAGTTTTCGCAAGAAAGTGGGTCCATTGCCATAAGATAGGAAAGATTCAGAAAGATCGCGACATGGGACTGATGATACAGCGCAAAATAACTCATCATCAGTATATAAATGAAGTTTTGGTGGCTAACTGATCCCAAGGAGAGACCCCTTAGCAGTGTAAGACAATACCTCACCGCAGAAAGTAAAGAGCACATAAATTATAGAAAAAGAGGGCGCTTTTAAAAGAACAAAGAATAGCTCTCTTCGGTCATGTGTTTATATCTTTTTTAAGCATATCAAATTTACAATATTCGATTTAAGCATTAAATGTTAATTCCCATATAAGAAAAATCGGTTGGAGGGGGCTCCGTGATGAGATTTTCCGACTTCGTAGCATTTCGGTGTCAATAATTATTTTGTATCAAATCTTGCACTTCTAAATGAATTTTTTATGGATTTTTGTCCAATCTGAGCAAATCGGCTTGTATGCGGGCTATATGATATAGTCGCCCGATTTCGATGATTTTCGGCGACAATATGATGATAAAATAGCGAATTTGAAGTTCTTATGTACTCGTATATGCTTTTCGTTTGGAGTTGTGAGCAAAGCCTCTTTCGTATCTGAAAAAATCGATATATGGGGTTACATGGTATAGTCTCTCGGGTTTGATAATTTTCAGAATACTAAATTTCAAGCTCTTAGTAACTTTTTTGACGGATCTATGAACCAATATCTCAAGTTTAAATAATCGTTCGTATGTAATATATATGCTGTAGGGGTCCGATATGGCCAGCTCCGACCACTGATCGTTCTTCTGCATCCGTGTGCAAAGTGTGTTTGAAGTACCTCAAAAACTGAGGGACTAGTTTGCGGTAGATTACACCTTTAAAAATAACATATTAAAATTTAAAATCGATATCTCGCATAGTTTTTTTAATTTTTGCCGCTCGGCAGCTAAAGTGAAAACGATCATTTTGTCTTTAAACGCGTTTTTCTCGAAACAGCATTTTCCGAATTTACTGTAGTGATTACTCAACAACAAATGATTCAATCACTATCGAATTTTTTTTACATGCTCTATATATATATCTCTCCGTACAATGACCTATCGATTTTTGATCTGATCAAAAAATCGAGTTTTGGCAGGCCAAAAACGACCAAAATTTTGGGTAAAATTCGACAATTTTTTCTAAAAACGCCGCCATATTTTTGATTTTTTTTATCGTAGGTCATTATACAGACAATATTATCTAGTTTAAAGAGAATTTTTTTCAGTTTTTACCCACGGAGAAGGCCGGTATCACTGCACTAGTGAAGGACCTTTTTTTCGCACGATCGCATATAACTTAAAAAATTTTTAATTTAATTTTTTTCTTCAAAAATTTTGAACTAATTGATAGAGCATTTTTTTTTTTAATAAAAATTCTCAAAAATCACCTTTTTTAAGCCATTACACTAGGTGTACCCCTTAACCCTTCTCTTTCTTGTACATACATTCTTAGGACCAAAGTTAATTAAAGAAATCCAGATCGGAAGGCTATTAAAGAAGAAAGTCTAAACCCATCAAACCTCATTAAACACAGTAAAAGTATTTGAAAACCCCATAATTACAAGAAAATTATCTCAACATATCGTCAGACATTTTTGGGGTCAAACCTCAGGCTGCAAGCAATACTTTCTACGGAAGTTAGAGGCACATGCT